AATCCTTCTCTTTGTTTTGAGGACCTAACACGCTCAGCCAAACCGTTTTCACTGCCTCCTCTTCTTAAATTTTGCTGATGATTCTCAAAATTATTGTATCCAGATCTAAAATCTAATTCAGAATTAGAACCTCCTCTTTTCCCTCTGAACTCATCTTTCTTAATTTTATTTCTTAATATGTTGTATCTCTGACTTGAGGAGCTAGCTGTTTCTTATCTCTCCAGAGTTACTTTCGAACTATGGTCCTTACCAAAAGTCATCCAGTCCCCATCTTACTCTGCCTGGAAAACCTGGACTCAGCCTTAAGGATCCAAAGCACTTGTCCCCTTTCAGAATACTCAGAACCAAGCAGCAGGTAACTTGCTCTTTCGTTTGTGGCTTTTTGGCCTCCGACATTTATTTCATAGCACTTAATGACATTTTATTCTTCTATTGATTCAGGTTATTTCTTCCACTTTCCTAAGTACCTCAAAAGCAAGGGCTCCCCTGTCCCTACCATAATATTTTATCTTTAGTAGATGTGCTTTAGGGATTAAATCAATGACATTTGATTTATTCCATGCAGCTGCACAGAGGGATTTACACTGGAGTTGTGCAAAGGAGGATAAAAAGCTGGGGGGAAAGCAAAGCAGTTTGAATATCCTTCCTACAGGCTAACATTCAGTCTTCAGCAGGAATCACAGCCCATCTATTATTCTCTCTCCCTCTCTCTCTATGTGTTTGTGTGTCTGTCCCTCTTTTTCCTTTCTGTGTTGTTGAATTTCTCTTTCTGTTTTTCTTTTCAATCTGCAACTTAAAAAACTTAATCATAACTTAAAAAATAATTTTCAAAAACCCTCACTCAATTCTATATAATACCTCAGCAATAACATTTGATATCTTTTTTTTTTTTTTTTTTTGGTACCGGGGATTGAACTCCGGTCCTTCCGCTTGCAAGGCAGGTGGCGGAACCACTGAGCTAGATCCCCGGCCCAACATTTGATATCTTCTAGAAAAGAAGAGATGGGGCCAGGGATTTAGCTCAGTGGCCCGCGCCTGCCTGGCAAGTGCAAGGTCCTGAGATTGATTCCTGGTACCAAAAAAAAAAAAAAAAAAAGAAGAAGAGATGGAAAGAAAGCAGGAGAAATAATGGACAATATATTGTGTTCCTGACTGCTAAAGCAATAAACTGTATGTAATCCTCTTTTACTTAAACACCCTTCAGTACTTGTTATTTTTAAAGTGCATTAGTTATTGCTAATGTTTTTTTCCATTATTTTTGAATTTTTGGTCTCTTGACTTCCTAGATGCCTTTTTTTTTTTTTTTTTGCCCCTCTACTGGGAATCAAACTCAGGATCCTGGGCTTGCCAGGCAGGTGTGGCGCCACTGAGCTACATCCCCAGGCCCCTGCATGCCTTTCTCCCCAGATTTCTACTTCCATCCCTTTCTCTTGCTCATTCCTTTTAGTTCTTAATGAGCTATCTTGTTTTTCCTATCCTCCAGTTGTTTATGTTCGCCAAGATTCCTCCCCCCCCCCCTTTCTGTCTCCTTTCTTCCTTTCACTCTGATGGTGCTGAGGATTGACACAGGACCTCACTGGGCAAGTGGTCGAAGACTGAGGTGCATCACCAGAATTTTTACTCCAAACCCACATTCTACACATGCAAATGTGTGTGGACAAATTCAAACGCATGCCTCTCCTCCTAGCAGCACCCCAAACTCAACCTGTGTCCACCTTCCTTACTGCTCCTGGGGTTTCTAAGTCAATCAGTGCCATCTTCAGAGCTGCTGACCGAATTTAGTCAGCCTAAATTGACTCTCTCTCTCCTTGCCTTCTGTAATGCCATCAATCCTTGAAGGTCTTTCTCCTCAACATCTCTCATGTCTGATTCATCTTCTTTCTTAATGCACAGCCTCAGTTCTTGTGCACGCCCAAGTCAAAATCTGGGTGTAAGCTTGTTCAATTTCACTCTCCTTTAGTCTATCCTCCTCATCAAAGCTTAGACAGTCTCCCAACAACATAAATTGTGTTTCTTCCTGTTTAAATCCTTCATTAATCTCACTTTAATTACTGAATAGAATTAGAATATCTCATTATGGTCCAAAAATCCCTCTTTAACTTTCAGACATGCCCCTCACGAAGCCTCCCTCCAACTGACCATACTAAGTATAGCTGTTTGAAAATACAACTGTTTAAAACTTCCCTGGCTTTCTTTACTCTCCTGTCTCTCACCCTATAGTGTCCCCAAGCCCAAGCGCCCCATGCCTCATCCCACATCATGGAGAACATCCTAAGATCAACCCAGTGCGGTGCTCGCCCATCTCTCAAATCTGCCCTGGGGTCCTGCCACCCTTGTTGGATAGACATGACCAGGCTCATCTGTACCTGGCACGAGCTTCCACTCAGCATGCTAGTGCACTGTTCACCACCTTGGGAATAGTATTTGACTCCAACTTCCTCACAAACTGGGGTTATATTATATCTGACATTCTATGCTCAATGCTTTGCACTACACCCAAAAAAAACATGGCTAAGAATTTCTTTCATTTTTGCTTTCTCTCTTCTCAGTTGTTTTGCTTTTTTTTTTTTTGGTACCAGGGATTGAACTCGGGACCTTGTGCTTGTGAGGCAGGCGTTGGAACCACTGAGCTAAATCCCTGGCCCTTGTTTTGCATTTTTAACACAAACACAGTTGCTCATTGAGAAAATAAAAATCTGGAAAATAACATGTGTGTGGTTTACTTTTATTAATCCTAAAAATAAAAAATACCCACTCATGATTTCACTACAGCATTATTTTGGTACTGGGGATCGAACTCGGGTCCTTGCACTTGCGCAGCAGGCGGCAAAACCACTGAGCTAAATCCCTGGCCTACAGCATTATTTTGAATCTGCATTGCCAAAACATTCTCTGTGATTACTGCTGTTGTTTTTAACAGCAAAGGATATCAGATCTATTTTCCTAAGAAATAATTAGAATTTTATAGTGACACACCTTTAAATATTTTCATGGTCACAGGAAGATGAAAACAAGGATCCCTACATACAGGCTAAGGTTACTGTTTCCAGATGTCTGTGTTCGAGGCACTTCCTGGTAACCTGCACTCCTACTCTTCCATTTCCATCTCCTACAGGGGCTGCCAGATGCTGCAGTCAGAATTATCTTGCTCCACTTCCCTCCCCACCCTCCAAGCTTAGCAGAACTTTTTGTACACTCTGTTCCTGCTCCTCTGGATCAGTAACCTTTGGGAGAACTCCTGACTCCAGTCAAAGCTGAAAAATGAAGCTCTACACAAACTACTCAAAACAACAGCCTTGAGGATTGATTCTTCCTAAGATTTGTTGGAGGAAAACATTTCATATCCTATTACACACATCCTGTAGCTGCAGAAACTGACCTCCCTCCTACTGCCACTTAGCTCCAGGTCAAGGAGGCTGGAAATCCCCAACAGCCCCTGACAGGTCGCTGAGTAGTTCAGTTGGAAAACAAAAATCAAGACTAGAGGGTCTCAGGCAGAAGGTCATTTATGAATAAAGAGTGATGCAAAAGTTTAGTGCAGAAAAGGAAAAAAAAGAATCCCACTATTTGATAAAGGAGAAAGGAGAGAAGACAGTGAAGGGGATATGTCCTGATTTACAGAGGTTAAAAAAACCTGGATATGATCAAAAGGGAAAAGGCATGAACATACAGGTGTTCAGGTAGCATCACCCTGACACAGATGGACACAAACATGTTAAACACGGCAGTAGAATTCTCAGCGGAATACTAAGAAGAATCTCAAGTTTTTGGAGTACCTGATATACCACATCCTTTACATCATTCATCACTCTTAGTACTTGTAACTACTTAATATAACTTCTGTTTAAGGAGTAGGAATAAACATGCAGAAAGTGATTAAGACAATGTTGAGCTTGTAGTAGGTGTTAAAGACATATCTACTCTCACTAAGGTTTTAGAAATGAAGAACCTGAGATCCCAGTATACTTTAGTAATTTGTCCAGGAGAAGTGCCACACCTGGTATCAGAACCTAGCTCCTAGTCCAACCTATATTCAGTGTGAGGTCTTTTCGCTAGAACTAAGTCACATTTCTGCTTTGGACTGACTCAGTAGCTAAGAAATAAGATCTTTCTCTGTGTAAAAATTATGGAAATGAGTGGAACTGAACAAAAATTATTACTATATCATAGATGAACAATGGTAAGTAAAATAAGATGGAAAGTAAAGCCAACTAAAATGAAGAATTTTCTTAGTCCGAATCAATATTCTCCATAATATTCTGAGATCAATAGAGTGAAAGTGAGTAAGGACTGGAGGTAATTGAATCCAAGATTCCTGTTAAGATGATCCAATCACAGAGTATCAGAGTTTGTGGAACACATTAGAAAGCATTTGCTTTAATCATTCTTCTTCATTTCACAGATGAGTAAACCAAATACTTGATGTTGACATGACACCCTCAAGATCACACAGCTTTAAGATGCAGAATTACCTTACCAAAACATGAAGGGTAGTTAGTACACTTAGAAATCTCCCACTGAAAGCCATGAGTTCAAAACTAGCAGAGGTAGTTTTATGGATTTGAATTTGCAAATCACATCACAAGTGGTAAAAAAAACACAAACACATGATTTGGTCTTCATGGGAATGAGGAAAGGGGAAGAGATGTTGCTTTAATATAGGTACAACTTCACCTTTGAATGTTCTACCTACTTGGAAAGGAAACACAGTAACCCATCCACTAGCAATAGAATTCCAGAAAAGCACACACCCGTGCCTGCTGAGTTCACATTTCCAGATATTCATAGCTGTGTGTGTGACACGTACGCTATAGAAAGAGCACAGATACACATCATCACGAACCGTGGAAAAACTCCCTCCCTTCCCTGAACTTTGTACATTCCTAAGAGAGGTCCCTTATCTCCCTCCATCTTAGCCAAAAGGCTGAGGAGGATAGAAGTGCCTGTCTCATGCACCTCTCTGCCACTGTCATCACTTTGGGCTCAGGAGTCGAGAGTACCTGTAGGCCTGGGCTCTGGCTGCCAGGTGGTGGCAGAGGCTTGAGAATGCAGGCTTAAGGTGGTGTCCTCGTCGTCATCCAGCATCCCCCTCATGTCCCTCGTGCTGCTGTACTTGGCCTGCATTCTGGCTCCTGCGGGGCTGAGGGGAAGTATGATCAGATTGCTCCAAGCTGCCTGGCTACCAGGGGATAGATAGCTCAGGAAGCCAGGCACGGAAAAGCATTCCTAATGTGCTCTCTCCCGACAGGCAGCACGGGAAGCCTCTGGCTCCAGTTCCTGGCTGGAGAGCCCCAGCCCCTCCCCTGTAAGCCTGTACTCTGAACGCCAAGTTGTTCAGGCTGAGGGGAAATAGCATCCGTTTTCTGTTTGGGCAGTCTCTGAACAGTTATTAAAGCAGTTGCCCTTCTCAGATTCTTCTTGTTTATCTGTTTGCACTTAGGAAGCTGCAGTGTAAAGATAGTGAGACCTTGCAACAGCACTTTGCATTTTTCAGACACTAAAGAATGATAAGCCCACAGTGGGGCGCAACGGACTCAGTTTCTTACCCATCATACTCTCTCTCACTGAGTCGCTTAGATGAAGTTTAATCACCTGTGCCTCTCGGAAAAGATGAGACTCTTCCTGTCTCTCAGAGCAAGGTGCAAACCCTCGCACACAAGGAAAGTCGGCACAAGGAGAATCTTCCTGAAAATGTCTAATCGCTTCAGCTCTTTTACTTTACACAGAAGGAAACTGAAGCCCATCTAGGTGAAGTGATTGTTTAAAGCCCCATAGCTGCTTACTAACAGAATAAACTTTAAAAATGCTCTCCTGCTGCCCACTTTCCTCTTATAGTTGGACTTGATCTAACATTTTATTGTACATAAGGTACATCATGATCATGAGGAGGTACACATTTTATTGAGGATCAGAACTTTAGGACTAATGCTAACCATCCCGTGACTTTGAAAAGCCAATTAATAATTTGTGCCTAAATTTCGCCAGCTGAAAAAAGAAATGAGAAGATTGTCAAAAATGATGTCAGTCTGTCTGTCTGTCTTGCAACAACAGAATACCCAAGACTGGGAAATTTATAAACAATGCAAAATTATTTCTCATAGTTCTGGAGGCTGAGAGGTCCAAGACCAAAGCTCTGACAGGTTTAGCTGTCTGATAAGGATTGCATGCTCTAGTGAGCAGGGACACTGTGTCATCACATGGCACAGGTGGAAGATACACATATATGTTCTGGAGAATTCCAAGTTAAAAAATGAAAAAACCTAAGGAGAACTTATTCTTGAATAGCAACTTAATAAAAAGTAAAAAGTCAAAATGTACGTGTCCATTTGCATTGAATTGAACATATCTGAGAACACTATAAAAGAGAAGACAGTGAGAATTTTTATGTTTTGGGGGAACTACCGGGAATCGAACTCAGAACATTGCACTTGCCAGGCAGACATGGCACTGCTGAGCTAAATCCTCAGCCCCATGGCAGTAAGAATTTTGAAGTGAGAGTGAAATATTAAAAGAAAGATAAAAAAATTAAAAATTACAACAGCTGGGGCCAGAGAAAATGTGCATGTAAGAAGTTCCTCTAAGTATGGTGCTAATGAAACAGTAATTAGAACTACTGCATTTCCCAAGTTTTGGTTATTTAAGAAGATCTTTGATAATTTTTGATAAACAATGTACATTAACATTTACACTGGTTTTCCTCAGATATTTGGGTGTTTTTCAACAAGAGCAAAAATATTTTTTAAACATTCGGTATAGTTCTGGCAAACCTTTTAAAGACCGAGTGCCAACTGCAACCCAAAACCCACTTATTTATCTCAAAGTGCCAACACTGCAATTAAACCTGAATACTGAGGCTTTACTTTAGAAAAAAACAATTCTCCATTAACATCTTTTGTCTTAAAAGAAAAACACAAAACAAGCATGCGGTAGGTTCACCACCACTTATCTACTGTTTCCTAGGGCCTTGGAATCTGTTCTCCAACACTTGGATTCGTCAGCATAAAGTAAAACCGTTCTTTTAGTCTTTGTCCATGTTCCCAGAAAAGGGCCAACAATATGCAAACAAAATAAGTTCATAAATAGCAAAGTACAGGAGACTACAGTGTGTGTTACGGTAAATATAGAGAGGGGAAAGGAGACTAAGAATATTGGGAAAGCATGGCTGGTGGTTTTAAATAGAGCAATCAGAGAAAGCCACATTAAAGCAGTGGTTGTGTTGAGTCCTGGGAGAGGTGAGATGGGAACCCCAGCTGCCAGCTTGGTGAGACTCATTCAGGAAGATGTAATAAGCTCTTTCCCTTTGTGTCCTTGTTCCAAGGCAACAGAGGATAGGACCGAACACACCAAGCAGTGGAAATGGGATTTACTGTGGTATTGGGTTCTTTATTAGAAAGAACAAAGAAAAGCCCTTGATAGACAAGGGAGGCAAGATGGATGTCAAGGAAGCGCCTGAATCTTGAAGCTTACAGAGCACACACAAAGGGGCCAAGAGGCAGAGGACATGCAAAAATGCAGGTTTGCTGCCGCTTGCTGCTTGCAAGCTTCTCATTGCCAGAAGATCTCATCATTTTTTTTTTTGTCTTCTGCATTCTAATTTACCTTGAAGAAAATTAGTCTATTTAGTTTGCCTTTGGCCTTTGGGTCTTTATTTTCCAGTCTCATCCACCCCCCAAACAGTGGTGACCCTAACTGCCTGAAAGGTGCAGAGGCATTGATCGCTCCAGCTGCTCTGAACTGCGAAGGGGCATGGTCAGGGCAGTACTCAGAGCTCACCACTGTGAGGTCAATTTAAGGGCCTTGAGGAGAAATCGGGAGGAGTGCCCCACAGGTGAAGCAGTTATAACACCACCCATAGCTTTAAACTTCATATCCACAAGTTCCACATCCCAGATTCGACCGACTGCAGATTGAAAGTATCTGAAAAACAATCGTCTCTGTAGTGAACATACACAGACTTGTTTTTGTCACTGTCGTCTAAACAACACAGTGTAACCATGTTTTACATAGCATTTACATTGCCTTAGGTATTATAAGTAGCCTAGTGATGATTTAAAGTTTATAGGAGGAGGTGTATAAGTTATGTACAAATACTGCAACATTTTATGCAACAGATTTGAGCACCTGCAGATTTTGTTATCAGCAGGGGTTCTGGAACTGGTGACACTTGGATAACAAGGGAATATTCCAGTTAAGAACTTGCCAGCCATCATACAGTTACCACAGAGTGGGGCTCAGATGCAAATTGATGCAGTTTGATTTTGTACTTTCATGCCTACATGCTCTATCTCTCACTACTTAGACTGGTTGGCATAAAAGCAACATGTTTCTTTTAGAAATAGACATATCCTCCCTTTTTATGGCAGTTAGGAGGTTACCATTAAGTCTGATTTTTTTTGCTTTAAGATTTTTTTTTCTGATGTGAATTACTATTTAAAGACAAGTTTTATTTATAAGCATTTAACTTTTATTTTTTTAGTTTTAGCAGTAAGAAAACTGAGGACTCTGTTTTTGAAAGACAATTTTAGCTAAGAAGTTAAAAGATTTTTTTTGAACTTGTATAGCTGTTATTGTGGTGTTTTAGCTTCATTGAACCACATTAGTGACATTACAGGTGTAGCTGGAGACTGTCAGTACGGGCCAGGATAGTACTTATAGCCCCTTTGCATATTTAGTCTAAATTTTATATATCTTGTTGGTTATACCTTTCTATTGGGTGTCTAAAACCAAGTTAAAGTGAGACCTATGTTAATCAAAATTAACATTCTCTAGGCATGGTGGCGTACACCTATACTCCCAGCACTCAAGAAGCTGAGGCAGGAGGATTACCATGAGCTTGAGGTCAGCCTGGGCTACATAGTGAGACCTTGTCTCCAAAATAAAAACAAAATTAATATCCTATTATATAATCGAGGTGCGTTAAGGCTCCCCAAGGCATTCTTTGGGCACCATGTGCAGAACCTCTTAGCTCTGACAATGTTATCTGCCAGAGTGAGTCACGGTCTTGTTTGACTGTGTGGCTTCCCTTGGAAGCATGGAGATGCTTTTAGTTTTCCTTTGGTGAACCCCCCCTTTTAGCACAAGGTATGCTGGGTAGCCCCTCCTCTGGGGTCTAACAATCTCCCTGTTCAGGAGGTGGGTGACTCACCAGAGTTATACGAACTAGAGAGAATTCTCCTCATGCTCTGGGTCCTTGTTGACCTTGGAGGCCCACGGCCAAAATACTGGCTGACTTTTAACCCAGCTATCTTTTTAGCTTTGGTCTGTGAACCTCAGATGTTGAACTCCCAGGAGATCAACAACAGCAGGATTGAAGTGGGAACAGTAGGTTTAACTATGATAACCTTATCTGGATATCAAGCACTTTGAAACATAAAGTGTGACCAGGAAAGTGTTATATTTTTTAACCATGATTTTTTTTTTGATACCGGGGATTGAACTCAGGATCTTGTGCTTGTGAGGCAAGCAGCGGAACCACTGAGCTAAATCCCCGGCCAACCATGATTGTTTTAACAGATAACTGTTACAGTTTTACAGGGAAAATTTGAAATCAAAGCAAATTAATATTTAGAATAGCAATTATGTTGACACTATTATATTATAATTATAATTATAATTATTATTGGAGGGTTTTACCTTTAAAAGTATATTTAAATTTTTATTTTATTATAGACTATCTTATCACAGAAAAGAGCTGCAGATTATTAAATGGGCTATTATTAAGCCAAATTTGAGGCCTTGTCTTTTTACCTTTTTTACTTACATTTTTAAAAAATCAATATTTTAAAATCCTTTAAATTGGTCCCAAGTTTATAAAATAAACTTAAAGGTGATATCTTGGGGACAAACTTTGAGCTATCCATCATTATTTAAGAAGTACTATACAGTGGTACCTCAGTTCATGAACACTTTTGTTTGTGAACAATTTGGTATGCAAACAGAAGCGTTTGACAAAATTTTGTGGGTTTTTGTTTTTTTTTTGGCGAATGCCACATTGGGTGACAAATACAACTGTGGCCATCTTTCCTGCATAAACACAAACATGGCTATCTTTTACAAAATTCTGAGACAAATTAAGTTTGTAAAACAAGGTACCACTGTATGTCTTTAAAATCTCTCCTGTGTACTTTTTGGGAGAGATAAAGGGAGAGAGAAAAGAAACAGAAAAGACAGCATCTTACTTTGGTCCCCTGAGGTGAGGCTATGTGAGCTGCCAGCTTTATCTTGAGATCGTGTTGTTGTACAGCCCACTCCAAACTGAGGTCAGGCTGCAGTCTGTCTCAGTCTT